GTGATACATGCCATCAAGTGCCAGCAATGGCCTTCTGCCATGTATATTGGCCAAACTGGATAGTGTTTACACCAAAGGATAAATGGACACAAATCAGACATCAGGAACAGTTGGTCTACAAATCATAAGATATTTTAAAAATAAAACATGTTGGATTTTTATTGGCCTTTTGTTTCTTGAGTATTTAAGGTTCATGTTTTAAAGCTTTCCTCCTTAGCTGTAAGGCCCAGAAGTATAGAGAACTTTTTTTTAAATGAAAGCTGAGATTCCTACATAATCAATGGACTCCAGTCCTTTAGAAAAACACCAAATGTTTTGAGACTCATGGTAAAACAATGGAGGAATTCTTGTGAGCCCATGTTTTGCCCACAGTATAAATATAAATAAAAAATCTTCTCCACTAAACATCCTAATGAAATATTGCAAATGGTAAACTGAATTCAACAGCTCCTGATATGAACAGGTATCAACCTAGTTTTTCATATTTGAGATGGGTTACCAGGAAGCATACATGACAATATGAAATCTTTCTACTCTCAAGTCAACATGTTCAAAAAGCACCTATAATTTTGATCCGTGCATTTATTGGATAGTGAAAGAGAAAGGAGGGGAATTAGTGTAGATAAATGTTTAAATTAAAAAAAAAAAAGGCTGAAGGAATTAGGACTGGGCTCCTGCATCTCACGTTCAGAACTGACTAGGACACTTATGCCCAGTTTTTCAAAGGTGTGTAAAGATCAGATAGATATCTTTGAAGATCCGAGTTGGCAATTGTCTCTTTAGGAGCTTAATTACCTTTGAAAATCTGAGCTTAGATTTCCAAGTCCAATTTTCAAAAATGACTTTAGTCACTCAAGTGCCTTTGAAAATTTTAACTGGGGGCCTAAAGAGACAAAAATAGACAAAAGGCAGGAGATATGGTATTCCTTTTAAAATGTGTGACATGTATTTTTAGCTAAATTTTCTATTATTTTTCTCCCAGGGGCAACTGACCCCTCCGGCTCCCTCACTACGCCACTGCTCCTCCTCCTGCAGATCTATCATCTTATGCATGTGCAAGATCTGAGAGCCGTCCCATGAATCTGCAGTTAGCGCCTATGGTGCCTGCTTCTGGGTGGTGTCTCAATGCTGCCACATTTACCTCCAAAGCAGGCCCTTGCTGTTGACCCCCAAGGCATCCACAGGTCCAGTCTCCTTTCAATGGGCCCACTTCCCACGGCTCATTGATCTTGGATCTGGCTTCCATCCCTCCTCCAAGCCCCATCAGAACTACTGTGCCCTCCTTAGGAAAAGAATAAACAGGAGGATTGGAAATTAACCCACCCAGTCTCACGTCCCTTAGGCGGGAAATGAGCCATCTACATTAGGCCCCAGCTGGAGTACTATGTCCAGTTCTGGGTGCCACATTTCAGGAAACGTGGAGAAACTGGAGAAAGTTCAGAGAAGATCAACACAAATGATGAAAGGTCTAGAGAACATGAGATATGAGGCAAGGCTGAAGAAATTGGCCTTGTTTACCTTGGAAAAGAGA